ACTACGGATTTTTTGAATTTACGTGATTGCAGTACTATCGCTGGTTGATAGTAGCAAATAGTGTCAGATCGGATGCTGCTTGAACCTACTTCAGTTATTATCTGGCGCGTTTTCCACTAGCGGGAAAAACATTTGCCAAAGTACTCTGAGAGCTAGCATTTACTTTATTTAAATGTCTTTTATTTCTTTTTTTCTAGTATTACCAAGTTAGTTCTTAGTTGACGCTTTTGAAGTTTCTTTTCTTTTTCTTCATTTTTAAATGCTATTAGTTGGCACTTGGACTGTTGTTTATAATAAAATATCTTCAGTAATTTTCTTGTACTAAAATTGATGTTAAATAAATTTAAATAATTTTTTTTAACTATGAAAATAATAAAATCTTCAAAAACAAACCACAATTTGTTCATCCTCCAACGGACAGAATTACTGAGAGACAAATACATCCTCATCACTAAGACCGTGTTCATCCTCCGTAACTGATTCAACAGTTACATAATAAATATACGTATATATTAAAGAATAACAAAAATATAGGATTTAAATACCAATTAGGATGCGCTTAAGCCAAATAAGATGTTTTGGAATGGAGAGTGCAATGACAGGCAAGACAACAAAAGATTATGCCAGTTACCTGCTGTAAGCAAATAACAAACTGAAAAGAATACATAAATGTAAAGGATAAATGGTAAACAATCAGAGAGGAAAAAAAATATGTTACGCTAAAGTCGGTCATGATGGACGCAGTAGTGCTACTTCATGATTATGCAGTATGTAGAGTCAATCTAACATAATTGACAATTTTTAAAGGATGACAGTTCTATATGATTCCAGCTTAAAATTTACAAAAGACTCCATAATCGTATTGAAAATATTGTGATTATTTAATTGTCTATAATCTTTAGAATTATTAAATTAATTAAAAATATGAGTTCAAGTGTTTTTTGTATTTTTAATCTCATTTTAAATTAGTAAAGTGAACAATGCCGATGTTTTTTTATAGCTCGGAAGTACTTAGTGAAAAAGATTAAAATCTGTACGATGTTAGCAAAAAAAGGCACAGCTTTAGATACAAACTGCTTTAGATACAAACACTTGGAATGAATGAGGAGCAAGTCAAGCGACCTGACATTCAATTGAAATCCTAACAAAAGCAAACTGCCTTCCTTTGGAGTTAACGCAACTCGAATTAATGACAAAGGCAGTTGAAGTGGAGCAACGGTTGTATTACTATATAATTGAATTTGTAGTTTGGATTCGTTTTCATAAAAACGAAGTAACAGAAGTCAAAAACATTCTTTAATGGTAAAAATTGCTGACCAAGAATAAAAGTTGAGAAAGATAAAAATTCAGAGACAAGTATTTAAATTTCTCATTTTTAAAATATGTCAAAGAGTAGAATGAAGTAATGTGGTGTAGTCTAGAGTGGTGTAGATTAGTGAATATTAGTGTAGGGTAGTGTAGAGTAGTATAGTATAGAGTAGATGATGATAATATATTTCTTTTCTCCTCAGTTGAGCATAGAACCTCTTGGTTGTATTAATTACATTCTTCAGGCTGTCATAACGTGAAATTAGTACCTCCATATCCGATGTGTTGGCTGCCGCAGTAGAAGGATTAACCGACTGTTGTCAGGTATCTCTTAAAAAATTATTTCCGTTTTGGTTTGACTCCATATTATACTGCCATCTTTAGAGCAAACATGAGTGATGGGACCAAAGATCTATTCAGGTGCAGGCCACTCCTAACGTATGGAATAGATGCCTACCTGGTGGCAATTTGGCTTCCAAAAAGGCACCAGGACTTGTTGTGGATTCGTCTTCGCTTTGACACTCCATCTCGACCCTACCAATAGCTGTGCTACCGCAAGCATCGTTCTTGAATTCACTGTCTTTAATAAACCATCTTACCGCAGCAAGATGCAAATCTTCAAAACAGTAGAATAGTGTTTAATGTGTATGAGCTCTGATTTAGTTATACACTTAGGCTTTGTGTGATTCATTTTCTGAATAAAAAAATTACATATTCCTTAGACTATGTTATTTCTTAAGGAATTATCTTATCATAATCTTATCATAATTCTTATTATCACAGTTTTGAGCTGCAATTTTTCGTTTAGAAGTTAACTACACTAATGAGAAGCTATCCATGTCCCATTTAAGACTTAACTGTCAGTCCTTGATATACCGATTACATACCAAACTTTTTCTAGGCGCCAAGCATTCACCGAATTCAATTTCCGTGTTTCAAGCAAATAGTGATTGTTTACGATAATCTCTTGACTTGTCCTTCTAACCCCTTCTTTTCTCCGTTGAGCGGCAAAAAATCAAATGAAAAAGTGATTCCCTTTCCCTGCTTTCACAAATTTGATTTTTCCCAAATTTCCCAACTCGAGTGCGAATGAAAACGAATTTTCATGGATTTTTTATGTTGGTCAACTCCTTTTTTTCGAAAACTGTTTAATTGCTGTGTGTCTCGTACTGCTTAGGTTTCCCGGCGTCCCTCGTCTATGAACACATCAAACACTTAATGTGCTTTGTTATGGTTTCTATTGTTCCAGTTTTTTTCCATCGATGCTCAAGTACACCTGATGTCTATGGCGACCTTTATGGCATGGAAAAATTGTTGCTGTTGTCGTCATTAAGCGGGCAAGGGTTGGAACGAGTTCATTACGCTGCGTTTCCAAATGAGAAGAGACGAGTTTATTAATGAATGACTATTAAATTTTTTAAATTGAGAGGTTGTAAATTTGAAATTTTTTATTTTTAATGAATTTGAATTTAAATGTTGCTGTTTCGTTTACCTGCAGTCGAAGTTTAGCCACTGAATATATTGAACTCGCGTTCATTGGAACTTGAATCTATCACATATTTGTATCGGCAATAGATAGATGGAAAATATTACCAAAAAAACATCTGCAGTAAATTAAAAATAGAAATAAGTTTGTCTGAAAGGATTATATAGTCTGCAGTATTCTCTTTGAAATACTAAATGCCCGTGAAAAGAAGCTCCATTGCCGTGACTTGTTCTTTACCTAAATATTGTGATCAACGGGAAGTGAGACCATCTTCTCTTCAAAATACCAAATGCCCGTGAAAAGAAGCTACATTACTGTGGCTTGTTCTTCATCTAAATATTGTGATCAACGGGAAGTGGGATCATATTCTTCAGCAGTCGTGACAAATTTTCTTCTCTTATATGATATTCATACTATATACTAAGCTTACTGATTTCGATTACCTGCCTTCGATTATTTGAGTGGAACTTTATATGAACATTTTAGCTTTCTTCGAATTTTTCGAGGAATGAATTCCTAAGAATTGAATTGAAGTCAATGAAAGAATATTTCACTTCAAGATATTAAATAACTGACTTTTAATATTTTTTAATTTTTTTAAACTTATTCAGATTTTGAAGGCTTCCACTTCTATGGATAGTAACGCTTTTTCTTCAAATGAGATTACAACTAAAGGTTTCTTTTATTTTTTTTTAATTAAATGTTTAATATTATATTTAATATTTATTTTAAATTAATATTCAGATATTTATTATCAATTTTTTCTTTTTTTTGCAATGTGAAGATGTGAAGTCTCTTGTTGTTTTAAATATCGTAAACTTACTCTTGAGGATTTCATTGTAACATGTGGATATATCGTATTTCCACAGAAATTCATGGATTGTATGTAGCTAACATGTTGCTAGCGGTTTGGCATAATTTTTGTGGAACGTGTGTGTCATTGGGAATTCCTCACATGTTGATAACAAAGGCTTACTAATGGTATTGTCTTTGTTGATGATTTGAAACTTCCAAAAGGTGAACAAATATAACATATAAAAGGAAGCAGTGACTGTTAGAATGTAGGGATGCGATAGAATATAAATACCTGACCCTGACCAATTTCATTTATATTGAAGCTAGATTGCATGGATTTTTAACAATATCCTATTCAAAGTCAAAAAAAGTTAAAAAAGTCAAGATATATTTGGACGGGCAGACAAAAAATGCGTTGAACATGGGTAAGTCAACTTGTTTCTTCAAGTTTTTCATATTAATATTAAGACCGTGTGCGAGTTCGAATAAATTGTGGTAAAGTAAATTGAAATTTCCTAGGGACTTTTTGCACTGCACTTTTGTATATATTTATTTATTTATTGCGCTTATTTATTATTTTTGATTAAAAGTTTTTATATTTATTTATTTATATATTAAACATCTTATGAAATTTTCACAATGTTAATATCTAATTTACCTAATTTTTATCTAATTTACCCTACTCGAAGTTCTGGTAAATACCAACATTCGCTGCCATATTGACATAATTTACTATTTCTTTCAATTTACCATGAATTTACTGGAATTCGCACACGGCCTTAGTATTAAAATCATTTCTATAGACTAAAAACTATGGATTATGTGATTACTCCTTAGTCACAGTACTATGAAAGGCAGTAACGTAACTATGATTGTGTCAATTGGAAAGAGAAATACTAT